GGAGAAGGAGGAAAATAAACAGAGCAGAGAGAGAGAGAGAGAGCTGATCCGAAGATCATTTTTGTCCAACGCATGATGATAAGACAAGGACAATAGAAGTAGCGCCCTTAATTTACTTACCTTCATTATCCTTATCATCGTCACCATCTTACTATCTTTATCATTATCAACAGTATTTCCTTTTTACCTGTTTATTTTTTGTATTCATTTACTTATTATTAATTATTTTTTATTATTCATCTGATTATGCCTCACATTGATCTTTGTTTTCTGCTATAATCTATATCTTTACTTACTATTATATCACTATCATTATCCATACTATTGCTATCATCGTTTCCATGGTTTGCTATCTAATTTTGATAATCATAGTAGGAGCGAGACGGATGGGGGGGAATGGTGGGGTGCGGTGCATCGGAGATGAGAGATACAGAGAGACGAGAGAGGAGAGAGAGGAGAAGACGACGAGAGAGAGAGAGAGAGAGATGAGGAAGAGAGGAGGAGAGAAGAGAAGAGAGAGGAGAGAGATGGAGGGATGGATAGATAGAGAGAAAGGAGAGAGAGAGAGAAGGATGATTAAGAGACGCACGCATGGAAGAGAGAGAGAAGATGCAGAGGAGAGAGAGAAGAGACGAGGAGATGAGAGAGAGAGAGAGAAGGAGAGAGAAGCAGAGGAAAGAGAGACAGATGAATTGATGATAAAGAAAGATATCTTGAACGCAGAAAGAGATAAGAATTTAGTTATGCGACCATCAATTTATTTTCTCACCCTCTAACTTCCGCCCCTTTCTTCTTTCCCTTCCCTTCTTTCTTTCCCTCCTTCTCTCTCTCTTTCCCTCCCTCCTGCTTCCACTCTCTCTATCATTCCCTCCCTTCCTTCCCACCCTCCCTTCCTTCTCTCTTTCTCCTCGGACTCCCCTCCCATGTATTCCTACCCTCCCTCCCCCCTCTCTTCCTTCCATCCCTCGCCTCCCTTCCCTCCTATCGCTTCCTTCCCTTCCCTCCCCTCCCTCCCCCTTTTCCTTCTCCTTCACTCTTTCCCTCCTTCTTTTCCCCTCTTTCCTTTCCTTCCCTCCTTCTTCCTTCCCTCCCCACCTCTCTCTTTCCCCTCCCTCCTCTCTCTTTCCCTCCCTTCTTCCCCTCTTCCCTCCCTCCTTCCTCCTTCCCTCCCTCTCTTCCCCTCTTTCCTCCCTCTCGCTTTCCCTCCCTCCCTCCCCCCTCCCTCCCCTCCTCCCTCCACTCCCTCCTTCTTTGCCATTTCCCTCGCTCCCTCCTCCTTCCTTCCTGTCCCTTCCCTCCTCCCTCCTTCCTTCCTCCTTCCCTCCCTTCCTCCCTCCTCTCTTTCCCAATCCCTCCCTCGCCTCTCTCTTTCCCTATCCCTCCTTCCCGTCCCTCCCTCCTTCCTTCCCTTCCTCCCCTCCTTCCTCCCTCTCTCTTATCCATTCCTTCTTCCCCCCCTCCTTCCCCCCTCTCTCTTTCCCTCCCTTCTCCTCCTCTTTCCTTCCCTTCTCTCCCTCTCTCTTTCCCTCCCTCCTCCCTCCCTCCCTCCCTCCCTTCCTCCTCTTTCCCTCCTTCCTCCTTCCCCCTCCTTCCCTCCCTCCCTCCTTCCTTCTTCCCTCCCTCCTTCCTCCCTCCCTCCTCCCTTCCTTCCTTCCCTCCCTCCTCCTCCCTCCCTCCCTCCCTGCACACACGTAGGAGAGAGATCCGATGACAAGGCAGCAGCATCCTTAGAGTCGCAGGATCCTGAGGAGTCAGTCATATGGGAAGGATTTTCTTTTCCCTTATAAGGACTGCCTCGTGATTACGCTCGAATTTTTAATCTATTGCGTTTCTTAATCTTGAAATTAATGCTTGGTAAATCGCTGGATTATTTCTGTGAGTATTCGCCTTCCTCTCCCTCTCCCTGCGTGTCTCTCTCTCTCTCTCCCTCGGTCCCTATTTGGTTTTTGGTTCGCCTGGCTGTCTGGGAGATGTCTGTGTTTTGTGTTCTTGAGTGTGTCTGTCTGTTGGTCGGTCTCTCTTTCTCTCTTTCTCTCTCTCTCTCTCTCTCTCTCTCTCTCTCTCTGTTCTGTCTGTCTCTGTCTGTCTGTCTGTCTCTCTCTCTTCTCTCTCTCTTGACTGTCTGTCTCTCTCTCCTCTCTATCTATCTATCTATCTGTTCATCTATCTATCTGTCTATCTATATTTCTGTCTGTATATCTCTCTACCTCTTTCTCTCTCTCTCTCTCTCGCTCTCTTTCAATCTCTTTCCCACCTACACTGTAATCCCCTTATCCCTTTTCCCTTTTTGCCTCTCCTTTTTTTTCTACCCTTATATATTCTTTAACCTTCTCGTCCTTCTCTCTTCTTATATATCCAACCCCTCTTTAACCTTCTCTTCCCTCTCTGTTCTTATATATCCAACCCCTCTTTAAACCTTTCTTCTTCCCTCTCTCTTCTTATATATCACCCCTTTTTAACCTTCTCTTCCCTCTCTCTTCTTGATATATCCAACCCCCCCTTTAGCCTTCTCTTCCCTCTCCTCTCCTTCTCCTCTCCCTCTCCTCTCCCTCTCCTCCTCCTCTTCCCCGACGTTCACCAGCGAAAAGGCCAATACATCACATGAAGAAAAAAAAGAATCACACTTTGCACCAACTTCCAGCCTTCTCCCGACACCGCTGCACCGAACAGCGGTTTGATTCCCGATATCACGAGAAGAGAAAGAATGAATTTGACGAAAAAAAAAGGAAAACTGAAAAGAAAAAGTGCGTGTGTGGGAGGGGGGAGAGGGGGAGGATAGGGGAAAGAAAGAAAGAGAGAGAAAAAAAGAGTTTCTGAGAGTAATCAAAGTCTAGAGGAACCACCAGCCTCTCCACTGCCATAGCCACGACCAGCATTGATTCCACATGAACCGCTGCCTCTACACTTCTGCCACTTACTGCCACTACTACCTCGACCATCATCTTAACCACTGCTACCACAATCTCCACCTACTGCACTAAGATTGCCCTACTACTCCCCATAACTACCATGACCCTTTTCCCTCATTACTAATTTTAGCATTGCCAACACCAACGCACACCACCTTTAGCACCACACCACTACCACCACAAAGTCCACCAACCACCAACCAACGCCACCACCTCTAGCACCACATTTTCCACCACAAAGTCCACCAACCACCAACCAACGCCACCACCTCTAGCACCACATTTTCCACCACAAAAGTTGCCACCACCTCTAGCACCACTCCACCACAAAGGTCCACCAACCACCAACCAACGCCCACCACCTCTAGCACCACATTTTCCACCACAAGTCCACCAACCACCAACCAACGCCACCACCTCTTTTCCACCACAAAGTCCACCAACCACCAAACCAACGCCACCACCTCTAGCACCACATTTTCCACCACAAAGTCCACCAACCACCAACCCAAACGCCACCACCTCTAGCACCACATTTTCCACCACAAAGTCCACCAACCACCAACCAACGCCACCACCTCTAGCACCACATTTTCCACCACAAAGTCCACCAAACCACCAACCAACGCCACCACCTCTAGCACCACATTTTCCACCACAAAGTCCACCAACACCACCAACGCCACCACTAGCACCACACCACAAGCCACCACCACCTCTAGCACCACATTTAGTCCACCAACCACCAACCAACGCCACCACCTCTAGCACCACATTTTTCCACCACAAAGTCCACCAACCACCAAACCAACGCCACCACCTCTAGCACCACATTTTCCACCCACAAAGTCCACCAACCACCAACCAACGCCACCACTTAGCACCGACATTTTCCACACACAAAGTCCACAACCACCAACCAACGCCACCACCTCTAGCACCACATTTTCCACCACAAAGTCCACCAACCACCAAACCACGCCACCACCTCTAGCACCACATTTTCCACCACAAAGTCCACCAACCACCAACCAACGCCACCACCTCTAGCACCACATTCCAAGCCACAAAGTACGCCACCACCTCTAGCACCACATTTTCCACCACAAAGTCCACCAACCCACCAACCAACGCCACCACCTCTAGCACCACATTTTCCACCACAAAGTCCACCAACCACCAACCAACGCCACCACCTCTAGCACCACATTTTCCACTACCACCACAAAGTCCACCAACCACCCAACCAACGCCACCACCTCTAGCACCACATTTTCACACCACAAAGTTCCACCAACCACCAACCAACGCCAACCACCTCTTAGCACCTCACATTTTCCACCACAAAGTCCACCAACCATCCAACCAACGCCACCACCTCTATGCACCACATTTTCCACTACCACACAAAGTTCCACCAACCACCAACCAACGCCACCACCTCTAGCACCACATTTTCCCCTACCACCACAAAGTCCACCAACCACCAACCAACGCCACCACCTCTCCAGCACCACATTTTCCGACCACAAAAGTCCACCAACCACCAACCAACGCCACCACCTCTAGCACCACATTTTCCACTACCGCCACAAAGTCCACCAACCACCAACCCAAACCGCCACCACCTCTTAGCACCACATTTTCCCCTACCGCCAGCAAAGTCCACCAACCACCACCAACGCCACCACCTCTACCACCACATTTCCACCACAACAAAGTCCACCAACCACCCAACCACGCCACACCTCTAGCACCACATTTTTCCACCACAAAGTCCACCAACCACCAACCCAACGCCACCACCTCTAGCACCACATTTTCCACTACCACCACAAAGTCCACCCACCACCAACCAACGCCACCACCTCTAGCACCACATTTTCACACCACCACAAAGTCCACCACCACCAAACGCCACCACCTCTAGCACCACATTTTCCACCACAAAGTCCACCAACCACCAACCAACGCCACCACCTCTAGCACCACATTTTCCACCACAAAGTCCACCAACCACCAACCAACGCCACCACCTCTAGCACCACATTTTCCACCACAAAGTCACCAAACCACCAACCAACGCCACCACCTCTAGCACCACATTTTCCACCACCAAAGTCCACCAACACCAACCAACGCCACCACCTCTAGCACCACATTTTTACCACCACCACAAAGTACACCAACCACCAAACCAAACCCACCACCTCTAGCACCACATTTTTCACCACCAAAGTCCACCAACCACCAACCAACGCCACCTCTACACCACCATTTTTTCCACCAAACAAAGTCCCACGCCCCAACCACCTCATATAGCACTCGATCATTTTCTCACCAACAAAGTCCACCAACCATTCCAAACCAACGCCACTCACCTTCTAGCACATCACATTTTCCACCACAAAGTCCACCTACCACCACTCACTGCCAACCCCGAGGCGCCCACTTCCGTCCTTCAGAAACTGAGAGGTTTTGTGCCAGCAGTTTATTAGAGGGCGGAGCGACCCCCTCGTCTTCGGTGTGTGACTTTTGTTGGTGGGCGTGGGAGGGAAGGGGAGGGAAAGGGAAGTGGATAATGAGGGGCGTGGGGAGGGGTAGAGGATGGCAGAGGAGGGTAAAGGAAGTGGGAAGGACTAGATGGAGTGGGAATAGAAGAGGGAAAGGACTGTGAGAGAATGGTAGTAGGAAGGAAGGGAGAAGGGGCAAAGAGGGGTAAGGAAGGGGAAATGAGGAGAGGCGCGTTTAGGGAGGGTTAAGAGCTGGAGGGTCAGATGAGGGAAGGAAACTGGGAAGGATAAGATGACAGGAATCAGCCGTGAGAGGAGGAATGGAGGGGAGGGAAGGGATATGGGAAGAGTGTGAATATCCCGAGGGCCGTATGAGAGAGGAGGGAAGGAATAAGGTGCGAATGGGTAAGGAAAAAGGATGAGGAGGGTACGATGGGAAGGGCGTGTGTGAGAAAGGGCAGGTAGGAAGGAAGGTGAAGGGTAGGAAGGGGAGGGAAAGGGGAGGGAAAGAGAGGGAAGGCTGTGAGTGAGGGTAGAGGAGGGAAGGTGAAAAGAGGGATAAGTTGAAGGAAGGGCTAGAGATGAAAGAGGTAGATAGTGGAGGTAAGGGGAAGGAAAGGAGGGAAAGGAGGGACGTAGGAGAGTATGAGGAAGGGCTAGGATCTTATGAGGGGTTAGGGAAGGGAAGGGGAAGGAAAGGGAGAGGCGTGGAAAGGAGATGAGGTGTGAGAGGGGAGAGGATGTGCGTGGAAGGGGAGGAGGCTCTTAAAAAAGGGAGGGAAGGGGTAGGAGGGGAGAGAATGAGTAGGTGATGGAGGGGAAGGAATGGACTTGGGAAGGGGGGAGGGCCGTGAAGAGGGAGGGAGGGGGTAGGAAATGGTCGGGTGGTAAGGAACGTGGGAAGGAAGGAAAGAGGGATTGGAGAAGATTGAGAAATGAAAGAATAGAAAGACTAGGATGAAAGAGAGGGAGAGGGGCCGGACGACGAAACGTTGAGAGAGGTGGAGATCGTGAAGGGGGGGGGAGGGTCGCAGGAGTGGGTGGGCAGAGGTGAATTTTTAGGGAAGAAAGGGAGGGAGAGAAGGCGTGGGAGTGAATAAAGAAGAGAAGGGAGAGGGAAGAGATAGATGGAGGAAAAAATTATAGAGAGACGGATGGTGGAAGTTAGAGGGGATGAATAAAGGAGGAGAGGAAGGTCATGGAAGAAAACGAAGGGAGAAATCGGATAAAAGGAAGACAGAGGGAGACAGAAGATGTAAAGAAAGGGAAAGAGAGAAACAACATAGAAGATAAAGAAAAAAAAAGGAAGATATAAACAGAAAAAGGAAAAAATAAGCTAAGAGGAGAGAGAAAAAAAAACATAAAACAAGGAAAAGAGGCAAGAAAACGAAGGAAAAAAAAAAGAAAAAGAGAGAATCGAAAAGAGAAAAGAAGAAGAAGAAGAAGGAGGAAAAGAAGAAGAGGAAAGAGAGGAAAGAAAAAGAAGAAGGAGAAGGAAGAAGAAGAGGAAGAAAATAAGAAGAAGAAGAAGTAACGAAAGAAGAGGAAGAAAAAGAAGAAGAAAAGAAAATAAATACCCATTCGCCGATGTGGACTGATCCTGAGCCGCGGGAGCCGAGGCCCCCCCCCCCCTCTCCCCCCCTTTCCCCTCCCCCCCTCCCCCCCCTCTCCCCGAAGCCGACGCAGCATCCAAAAACAAACAAAAAAAACAAGGCAAAGACGACATCTCAATCTCAGCGAGAAAGAAATTAAAGAAAAAGAAAACCGGATAGCTTGCAATCATCGAGCTTTTTTTTTTTTTTTTTTTTTTTTTTTTTTTTTTTTTTTTTTTTTTTTTTTTTTTTTTTACTAATTTCTAAAGCGACGCTTTTTATAAGGCAGCCAGACAACTTTCAATCATCTGGCCGTTTGTATGTCTTCCTCATGCCACCCCCCCCCCCCTTCTACCCTGTTGGCACCACCTCATCCCGCCAACACCTGTTTGTCTGTCTGTTCTGTCTATTTCTCTCTCTCTCTCTCTCTCTCTCTCTCTCTCTCTCTCTCTCTCTCTCTCTCTCTCTCTCTCTCTCTCTCTCTCTCTCTCTCTCTCTCTCTTCTCTCTCTCTCTCTCTCTCTCTTTCTCTCTCTCTCTCTCTCTCTCTCTCTCTCTCCCTCTCTCTCTCCTCTCTCTGTATATGTGTGTGTGTGTGTGGTGTGTGTGCATATGTGTGGGGGATCAGTCCATTTCTTTATCCAGTACCTCTTCGTCTTTTTATGGGAATACCGACTTGGGTGACTCTATTTCTGTTTATTTGTCTCTATATTACCATATCTATTTATGTTTCTACCTATCCTATTCCCCATAATCTCTCTCTCTATCTATCTATCTTTATCGCCCATTTTTATTTTATCTGTCTTATCTGTATACCTCTTCTCCAACCTACCATGTACCTAACTCCGTTTCTCTCCATTTATCCATTTCTTGTTCTCTCTATCCACCTACTTATCTTTATCCCCTTTACAGCACAATCGTTCTGTGTGCCATCGTACCGACACCTATTTTTTCTTCTCTATATCACTATGCAGCTATATCCGTTCCTTTCTGTCTATCCCATTTTTTCTCTCTATCTACTTATCTATTCCTCCCTATCACCATCTATCTCTACGTCTATCCCCTTTACAAAATGGATTATTGAGATCTTTGTATGCCTTTTTTTTAATCTTTATTACTATGTATGTGTCTCCCTTTCTTTTTGTCCATCCATTTCTTGTTCTATTTGTCTCTCTACTTGTCTCTCTATGCTCTGTTCGTGCTTCTTCGCCTCGCCATCTTTATTTTCTTCTCCATTTTACTATCTGCCTATCTCTTTTTCTTTCTGTCTACCCATTATCTACCTACCTATATCTTGCCCCCTTTACAAAATGGATTGTCCTGTTTGTGTGCCTATTTTTCTCTCCATATTAATATGTCCTCATTTCCCATTCATTCTCTCCCACCCAGTTCCTTTCCTTCTCTCTATTTACCTATCGTCTATCTCCAGTCCCGTCTTACGTCCATTTCCCATCTATTCTTATCTTTATCCCAAAATGGATGACGATCGCTATTGTCTTGTTTGTCTGTTATCTTCTCTTATTAGCATGTATTAGCATGTACCTATCTACGTTCCTACTGCTCTCTATCTACCCCTTCCTTGTTTCTCTCTGTTATCTACATACTGTCTCCATTCCCATCTTTATCCCCTTCACAAAAATGGTCACGAGGCCCAATTGTCTCCACTAACCGTCCCACGCCCACGCCCACTGCCTCCGCCCACGCCCCGTCATGTTCCTACGCCCACGCTCCCGCCCCCACGTCCTCCGCCCCACGCTCCCGCCCCACGCCTCCGCTCCCCGCCCACCGCACCACTACCCCGCCCACGCCTCCCGGCCACGGCCTTCCTCCCACGCCTCGGTCCTGTTGCCTAGCGCCGACCCACTGACAAGTACCAACATTCCTTAACCCTGGGAATTTCATTAAAATGGGCAACCGTCCGACGCGACCCGAGACCCGGTCATACTGCTCTATTTGCACCGTCTTAATTTTATGCGTCTTGGTGGGGAGGAAGAGAATATAGGTTGGGCGGAGAGTAAGGGGGCTGCGCGAAAATTTACTGGGGATAATCATCTGCTTCTTTTCTTTGTTTTTTTCTGAAGTTCTCTCTCTAAACTCATGTCGGATGCTTAGTATATTCTGTTCATCTTATGCTTTCTCTCATACTCTCTCTCACAAAACACTTCGTCATCCCCCCCCCCCTCTCTCTCGTCTATCTGATCTCTTATCTCGATACTCTCTCACTCACACACTCTACTCTCTCTCTCGTCTATTCTATCTCTCTTTAACTCCCTTACTCCCAAAGTCTCTCCTCTCTCTCTCTATCTTTACGTAATTCTCTGACTCTGCACTCAATTTCCACAAAAGGTATACTCATCTCTCTTTCACCCACGCATCCCCCTTCTCTCTCTCTATCAATATCAATATCTTTCTATCTATCCTCTATCTCTTTCTCTCGTCTCATATCCCGATTAATCTGCTCAATGTCCCTCTGTCTCTCCTTTTTCTGCGTGTGTGGGCTGAGGGGAAAGGTGTAGTAAAGGATGTTCTTAATTAGCGGCGCTGTGTGAAAAGGCGTGAAAAAATGCTAGTTAATTGGTGCACTACGTAAGGCGTGCTGTAGAAATGGAAGGCGGACCGGGATGGCTCCTCTATTTCGGTCTTGTAATGGTCTTTGTAATGCTAATGCCGAGGTTCTTCCTTTCTTTTTTTCGGCCAGTTCTTCCTTCGGATAATTCCTCTTTATGACCGTCTTCATTTTCATTTTCATTTTTCGATTCTCCTCTCCAGTGTTTCGTCTAATGATCTGCTCTCTCTGTGTCTGTAATCTCTTTCTTCTGACTGCTA